TAAATAAGAGGACCATTCATAAAGGTTATAACCCTTTTCTTCATCAAAAATTGTATTTAATATATACAGTGGATACTACGTCTTGGTTAGGAGCTTTTAAATTAATTTTGGAGGCACATTTTGGAGGGCTTTCCTTGAATTCCTTAAAGTAAGGTCGTTGGATTAAGATCAAGTACTTTTTCCTGGCTGTTCCCACTTATATTTGACATCACTTAATTACTTAAAACCCACCTACTCCTCTCGTGCATACGTTGTTTTGTTTATTTATTATTAAGAAGACGGAAATGCTTGACTCTGATTTAATTACTTACTTTACCCCTTCCGCAATCCCTGTAAACGCTATTCAGAGCTGGCAAAAGTGTGAACAAGAGTGCATGTTTGAGTGTTTGGACAGGATGAACGGATTGGAATGTACCCGTTTGGCATTTGACACTTCCTTGGCGGCTTACCGCCCCATCAATCACGTGGACATGCGGCAAATTAATTAATTACCGCCCAGCACCAGCTGATGAAAAGCGTCTGAATAATGTATTCGTGGCAGGATTCCCTCGAAATGGATATCGAACTGAACTGAATTGAATTGAATTGAATTGAGTTGAGTTGAGTTGAGTTGACAAGTGTATGAATCGAATTAGCGACCCGGCCGTCCATTTCCATTTAGATGGTCAGTGGATCCAGGGATCCCGGTTCAGTTGGCTACATGGCAATGCAATTAAAGGATGAAATGACATGATTCCCTGCCTTTGGCCCTGGTCATCTGCACTCGACCTTGGCCCTGGTTGACATTCTCATTCGCTGATTCGATTTGCCTTTTTCCCCACTGCGATTCCCGCATCCAGCATCCTGCATCCCGCATCCTGCATCCTGCATCCTGCATTATCCTTGACGCATCGACATTGACATTGGAATTGGCTTTGGCCTTGGGCCGTTAATTGCATCACAATGGAACCAGGTTGTGGAGCCGGGTTTTTTCCAAACACCATCATCGATCAACCGCTGTCATACTTAGCTTTTGGATTAACTAGAGGCCCTTATTTTCCGAACCCCTCATTCCAAGTAGGTGCCAATAAACCGAGATTTATTGCTGTCACTTCCCCCATGTCTTCAACCTGGAATCCACCTGTTATCGAGTATTAGTTTTAAATAGAAATACTTGTGCAGACATAATGGACCCTTCGATGAAAGGGCAACCAGTTTGCATTCAATTGCCGTAATCCGTAAGCGGATTTAACTCTCATGTGAAATGCGAAATAAAAGTTTGCTCTAATACCCGGCTTAATCTTTTTTGTATTCGTTGCAAAACGGAAATTAACTACGAAATATTTTTGCAGACAACTCAGACAACTTGTTATAGTCAATCATTTTCAAACCAAACTCAATTAGGCTAATTGTAGGTAGACATTTTTCAGCATTCCTGCCGCTTGATTTAATTTCCTTCAATTAAATAAAACGACTTATAAATTGCCAGCTTACTGTCAAATCCATTTTGATGGTTCGCCCCGGCTTTAAATTAAATTTTCACTTAAATTCAAAAGGCAGCAACGTACAAAGGGCATTTCGATAGTAACTTATCCCCCATAATGATATCACATTTAATTGGATGCAAAACACAAGCATAACGAGCTAGAAAAAGCAGTTGTGTGATTGAAACCATAATTTCAACTGCTGTTTTTAATTAATTCTAAATAACCAGCTACCACACCGCAGATAATTCTGGGCATAATAAAAGTGAAACTTAATATCGAGGGCGGACACTCTGGTGCAAAAAGTTCGTAAACTCTGTATTCAAATTTGAATTTAATTAAGACTTTTGCTGGCATTCAGAGCCCTATTTTTGGTTTTGCAGCAGGCGAAGTAGGAAGCCCCATTATGCAAAAATACAAATACAGAGAGATTCCGGCTGCATCGGCATCTCGGATTGCAGTTTTAATCAGGACATCCTCCCCCCTTTTGTGGCCCAAAATCGCATACGGATTTGGCTGGGAATTTTGAATTATTTGGCCTGCGAGCCATGGCTAAATGAATCTGCAGCGGAGAGGCTGCGAAAAGCCGCAGGGTCCTGTAAACTGAAACTTTCACCACTTTCGCCGCCCCATATTTTTGCACCTCTTCCGGCGGGAAAGCCCGCTGGGAAAGACGGTTCCTCATTAAATTTTAACTATGCGCTAAGCTGGGGAAAACGCGGTCTTTCAAGCCAGCTCATGTAGCCAGTCAGCTCAGCACTTGAGCCATTGTTGCAGCAAACAAAAATGTTTTCCATCTTGTTTTCCCTGCCCCCCGGGGGCAATGACGTATATTTCAGCCGGCTGATGGACTCCAAAGGATGCCTTTAAGTTCACCAGCGGCAAAATATTAAAGTACATATATTAAAGTAATGAAACATGGAGATTTTTCTTCCCTGAAGGCAGAACTTGTTTGCCGAAAAACCAAATAAACTTTCAAGCGATCGAAAACACACAAGTATCAAAATATAAATATCTATGAATGTGAAAATCTAAAAAAACTATAAAATAAGACTCACAAAGACGTAATTTATCGTTTGAATTTAGTTGCCAAAAGATTTTCCGGAAATTCTGAATAGAATATTTTGTTGCACAAGTTTTACAAAATGTTCCTTTGGCAATTTTGGGCAAAGCTGGAGCAAAAATGTTCACTTGAAACAAGGGGAAAATAAATTTGCAACGCTTTGAGGGCAAATGATGAAAATGAAACTAATTAAAACACTTAGCTCGAAGAGCTGTGGGCCATTTGGCATATGACTGTCTACTGCAGGACCTCTTTTAGGGTCCTTGATGGGCCAACCAGCTCATTTGCATTCGCAACGTGGCCTCGTATCATTATTTCGCTCGGCAATTTTTAATTGCACATTTCTTGGCCCCAGCATTTCGGTTGCTAAGCTAGAACTGAGGAGCCAAAATGGGAACAGCCACTGCGAATGGAAATGGAAATGGAAATGTTGGCGGCAATGGGAATAAAGGTGCTCTGATTGCAGATGCAGCACCTGCTAATTGCCCACCTGTCACTTGCAGCCACCTCGAAATGCACTCGCAACAAAGTCTACTCCAAGGGCATTACTCAACAGAAAGGTCGAAAAGCAACTTAAATAGCTGACGACTAACATTAAGTTACAAAGTAGGGTTGGTAAAACGATTGATAGCACAATCGATTCTATCGATAGTTTTACAATTTAGGAAATATCGATGGTTTTCAAATGGTTTTTCATTTTACACAAAAAAACCTGATAAGAATTGCAAAGATTGGTCAAAAAATACATTTTTAAACAGAAAGGTCGAAAAGCAACTTAAATATCTGACGACTAACATTAAGTTACAAAGTATGGTTGGTAAAACGATTGATAGCACAATCGATTCTATCGATACTTTTACAATTTATGAAATATCGATGGTTTTCAAATGGTTTTTCATTTTCGCCAAAAAAAACCTGATAAGAATGGCACGAATTGGTCGAAAATACCTTTTTCTTTAAGACAGAATGAGGAATGGGAAACCCAGTTGAGCTCGTAGTTTTATTTCCCCTTCATTGGCATTCAAACCTGAAAATTTTACTTTTTTTAAATGTTCTTTTTTTGCAAAAAACATGATGCAACCTTTTATGGCTAATGAAAAAGTTAGTCCAAAGCTGTCCATTTTGATTTGTCCAAACTACGATTGAAAACTCGTTAAAACAAAGTGGATTTTTGACTAAAATGGAACACCATTTTTTTCGCCCTAAAAAGATAGGGACTTGGCTGCCACTATGCAAATAAGTCAGAATGAAAAAAATAATCCTTGTTGTGATCCTAATTTAATTTCTCTTCCATTAGCACTCAAACCTGATACTTTTTCGGTTGTGAATTTGTTAACAAAACATACTTAATTTAATTTTCAATAAGCCTGAAAATGGTCCATTTTCTGCAAAACAACTGGTGTTACCTTTCATGAAAAGTGGAAAAATTGATAAAATAAAATACATAGTCCTTGATATGCAACGATTTTTTTGATAAACCTATAAGAGGTTAACGTTTCATTTAAATATTGCAGACATAAGTAACTTAGGACTATTTATATTTGATTTAAGCACCCTATTAAGTTCAGACAGTTATTATTTTACCCCTACCCTAACCTTATATATGCACATTTTTCGCACAGTGCATTTCGGGAACCAAAAGGCGACCGTGTGGGTGGCTGGCTCAAATGTTGCCAAAACCGCAGTTTCAGTCAGCTCGGTCTGACTTGCGGTCAAGTGGCAGCTTGATTGTCATCCCAGGCGAAAGGTTGGTAAAATCGAGGGAGGAGCTGGGGCCCTACGGCACAGGTAGCGTTAATTTGCCAGATCGACTGCATTCTATTTACTGCCACAAAGCCTGCGGAAAGGATATTAAATTTCTGAGCCCATTAGCTACTGACAGCCGTGTTAAATGCAGCACGTTGCGGTCATCCAAATTGGGTTCCCATTGCATTTCCATTGTGATCAATGTGGCTTAAATTGCACGTTTGAGCGAGATTGGTTGGTATTTGTAACTGACCAATTGAGTAGTAAGTAGTTTGTTAAAATAGGTTAATTTGTTTGGTTAGTACGCATTTAATTAAGGTATGCTAATAGCCATATAAGTAGTTCCTAAGTAGTTAGGGTCTGCAAGAATGCATTTTACATCCAAAACACTTCATGCTCATCATACTCACGCCAACACTTCATTGAGAATCGAAACTGCAAGTCACATCACCTCAATCCTTATTTACCACAATTAGTATTTTGAAGTTTGCAAAATTACGAATATGATGAAAATACTTTTGGACTTTCCTTATTTTTGGCACTATTGAAGTTTGTTTTTTAAAATTGAATACCTACATTCAAACTTCTATAGCTAAGGTATAACAAGTAGAGGTTTAAATGTAGGTACTTTTACAAAATTGAATGATTCCCAGTGAATCAAGCAGCTTATTAGTTGAAGTCCCAGCAAAAGCGCAGTTCTAACGATGGTATATTTCCATTTCGAACAGGTCCACTCATAGGGATGAGTTTGGGACGCAGCGCGTTTATAAGAAGACCTCGCCGAACTGCGTGCTGACCCTATATCTACCGACTCGCGAGATAACGCTCACCGGGAACAATCCGTCCGTCCTGCGGGGCATTGTCTTCGTGGATCCCAAGGCCATCCAGGGATATCGCGTATACGCCCAGCTGACGCTGACCTTCCGGTGAGACTTCGAGATGGGATGCTGACCATGCTGACTCATCCCAAATCATCATCATCATCGTAACCCCCCATTCGAACCCTCTTTATAGATACGGCCGCGAGGACGAGGAGGTGATGGGTCTGCGATTCTGCAACGAGGCCATCATGTCGCTCCACCAGATTTGGCCACGCCTCGAGGAACCCACTCCGGAATCCCTCAGTCCATTGCAGGTAATCATCAAAATTGAAATTATGCATTTGCGGGGGGACTTGGGGACTTGGGGACCCTTCCTTTCAAATATGACGAGCCCTTGACCGACAGCTGGTGACGTGGGTGATGCTGGTTAACAATTGATGACGTTGCGGAAGCTCTCTGATTCCCACCATCCTGCGAATCAGCTTCATCAATCCGCCAAGGGAATCGCGGCTCGCTACTCTAGACCATAAATAATTGGACAATTTGCTGGGACTTGCAGCACCATCGCCATCGCGTCGCCCTTTTGGGGAGCCGATGTAATTTCAACGCAATTTTTGGTTGGCTTTTCTGGACCAATTTCGGTACATAAAGGGTTGGGATTAGTTCAGCTAGAAGCCAAGGCAATACGGGCATTGTGATAAGAAATTGGAATCAGTATAACTATTTCAAATGAAGTTCGAAGGACTCGAATTATGTTCAAAGCTAACGAATTTAGCTTTATTAAGGAGTTAAAAACGGTAGTTGGGGCCAAAAACAATCATTTTTTCTTGATTAAAGAACTTTGACACTACAAAAAGTCATCCATTCGGTGGAAATCAAAAATGGTGACAGACGCATTCGAAAGTATGAAAATATTTTTCCATTGGTGTATCTCAAAATCAACTGAATGAACAAATGATTTTAAAGAAATATACATCATCTGCTTGTATATAATTTTTACATCGACATCTTTTAAGCTAATTTTCAAAGTTGCTTGAAAACACTTTAAAATTGAGCCTGATTCCTTATGTTTATTTAAGTAGACTGGGCCTGAAACACATAACTCTGGTTTATTCTTATCCATTTTGCCTTGCGTGACCGTCTTCATGACGAACTGTTTCAATGATTTTGCCTCAACCTGGAGATCCACTTCAGCATCAAGATGAACCTGAACCTGAACCTGAACCCCTGTATCCGGGTCACTTGGATTTTTATGAGCAGCACGTCGAACTCGTGTTTGGATGTTTGAATGTTTAGATGTTTGGATGTTAAGATGTTTAGATGTTTGGATGCTCGGATGCTGACATCTCACGTGCGCCCTTGGATGTGTGCACCCCCGAAAATTGTACATATGTATACACATATCCGTGTATAACGTATACCAAATGATGGGAGCTGTTGTTCTTCGGATTCGGAATGGGAAATGTGAAATGGGAATGGGAATTGGAATGGGTACATGGGTACATGGGTATCCACCTGCCTTCCGGCCGTTCGGTGCACTTAAACCAATTGAAAATCAATTTCATTTAACTAAAAGCCAAACAAATGTTTGCGTTGCCTCTCCAAATCTCCAAAATTCTTTTCTGCATTGTTTCTGGACCCTGGCCGAAGGACGAGGGCGGTGGGGAAAGGGGTCTGCGTCTGGCCGAAAACTTTTGAAATTCAACTTTTCGCATTTTTTATTAAATTTGACATGGAAAAATCTATTTTTCTGTTGCCATCCCATTTTCGGTTAGCCAATGGGTTTTTTCGCCCGGATTCGTTTAGGGTGCTCATACCCAGACTCACTCACTCACAGGCACACGCATAATTAAATAAATTTGATTTTAATAACTTGCCGAACGACAGGAGCCGGCAAAGATAAAGGAAAGCTGGCCAAAAATAGGCCTCAGCAAACAGATCCAGAAAAAAGAGGAGAAGGAGCTTGTATAGATTGAATAGTACACTGAAAGAAACACAAAATAGCCCGAGTCCTTTGAAATTTACAATAATGTAAATGCGATTATTAGAACGTGGCAATACAAATCCATTTATAATAGAAATGTTATTTCTTAATACATTTTTAATCTATGTAATCCGAAATTTCTCGATGAGTATTATATGTTCTTGCCTAATACATTTTTTTTTCTGAGCATAGAGTAAATAAATGTTTGCTGTATCTAGCCGGGGTCAAGTTTTGATAGATTTGCAAACGATTGACTTTAATTTGATGCGAGTATTTAATACATTTTGATAAAATCCATGTTAAATGGAGCCTTCGCATACAGCAATAAAAAGTCATGTGCCTGTATTTACTTACTTCCTTGAATGCTCACTTGCATCTTAAAGGATAAGCCACCTTAAATATTATTGTGGTTTGGTTCTTGTGGTAGAATTCAGGACAACGACAGTCCAAAGGACTTGGCTGCCGTTGTCCGGACAACCTAAGAAGACACGCGCAGGCGATTAGACCTTGATATAAATTTGTTTTCATATAAATATATATAAATTTGGGTGAACCAAAAAGTGTGCGACAATAAATGGGCTTTTTAAAGAATCAAATAACTTGAATGGGAAGAGGTAAAAAAACAAAAGGAAGTAGGTTTAATAAGTAAAATAACAAAGGTCCACTCTAATATACTACATACAGACATACTTATAGATGTGCTTAAATAAATGCAAATGAAATGCGGGCTGAAAACAAAGAAACAGCAGTAGTATTTTAGTTTATTTAAATGAACAAACACATTCCATTCCTGATAATTCAGTTTCCACGTGCAACTCCACCATTTATTTTCACCATTTCAGGAGGCCCTGATGAAACGCCTGGGAGACGGCGCCCATCCCTTCACCCTATCGCTATCCTCCTACGCCCCACCCAGTGTCCAGTTGGTTCCGGCCAAGCGATACTACGGAGCTCCGATTGGCACCAGCTACGATGTCCGCTGCTTCATTGGTGAGTCCTGCGAGCCCAGAAATAATGGGGTTCTTACCAGGGGGAATAGGAAACTCAGATAGTCAGGCAGAGGGACTCTAACCAAGTATTATGGTACCTTCTAGAAGGAACTATTATTAGTTTACGCTCTAAAAGGGTCATTTATCATTATTTTGCTAGAATTATAACTTAATTTCCTAAGACCAGGATTATAGTAAGCTGGATAATATTACCAAGACGTTACTTTTATAGCAATAGTGTGGACTGGGTTTTGCATGAGTTTTAGTGTGACCTTATGTCAATAAAGTAAAATAAGGCTTTAAGGGTCATATGATCTTTGCTTATGTTTCGAAAGTCATGCCAACCTTCGGCGTATCTTTTCACAAGTATGTTTTGATAAAATATTTAAAAGGTTAAGCTGTTGTGTAGGTGCCATAAACTTTTCAAATAAATCCAATAAGTTTTGTTTTAAAGATATTATGATATTATGGTATTATGATACTTGCCTGATTTTCTGCTAACGTACTGGGTTTATTTAAAAAAGTAAAAGCAAGCTAGAAAAAACAATCTATAGCTAAACATCAACCTATGAACTTGACATAGATCCAATAAGTTAGTCGGAAATCAACATAGTGTCATAATACCAAGGGTGAGTGTCATAAGCCCATACCTGGGTCACCTTCAATAGACTAAGTTTACCATTGGGGACAGTCTGGAGCGGAATGCCATGGGACTGGGTCACAGACAGACATCGGGACTTCACCTGAAGCACTCACCCGCATTGCTGGCATCCCCCACAGAATAAAAAAACAACACCTGACCACCACCTGACACCACCCCAGTCAAACCCATTGAATCGCCATCAAAGATCCAGACACCGTCGCCAACTGAAGCCCGGGTGCGACTTGGATTGTAACAATCAAGTCGATTTCCACCGTTCAATTATATGTGTATAAATATCCATCTATCCCCCAGCGGACACGCCCCCTTCAATCTTCGTTCATCGAATCAATCGCTGACGTCAGCACAGGGGGATTTGTGATTGATTTTCGTAACGATTCGTTCGGGTTTTATTTTTGTTTTTCACTTTTGTTTTCTCTTCTCTTATTTTCGAGGGGGTGTTCTTAAAGTGGACAATTCAAGTAAATGAAAAAAGGCGAGGGAGAAAGTGTTTTCCAATTTTACACGCCCTTGTACATTAAATTTAAAACATGAAAATAAATCAACTCAGTGGAGATGCTGCCCAAACGAATATATATTTTTTAAGGATAATACAAATGATATAAAATAAAACTTGTAAACTTCAGGCCAACAAGGGTATCAAAAAATCAATATTAAATGCTTTCGGCTCTCGGATCCAGATTCAGATTCCGGATTCAGATTGAGTTTTATATCCAGATTGAGATTCTGTTGATATTATTTTAGTCGCTCCGTGGCGCCGGCGGCCTTATGAAAATATGTCCGTGATTCTGTATATTTTTTTTGCCATACCATGCGCCATGCAAAATATCCAGCTTAATGAAACCGTGTGACTTGGCCATCGCCGTGGGACCAGGCGAGAGTCGCTCCAGATTTCCATCGCCTTACCCATCCTTGCACCCATCCAGCTATTCCAACCCAAAACCCCCAACCCAATCCAATCCAACCCAACGCCTCTGTCTCGGGGCACTCGTGCAATTGTTGGAGCTAGCAGGCAAAGCTCAACTGCGGTAGCTCTGGGCAACCTACGCAGGAAACAGGACGCAGGGATGCAGGGACACAGGGGTCCGGGAATCCTGGGCCTGGGATGGACAGCTCCTGGTGCCGCATGATGCCTCTGAGCCCCGAACCCCCGAACTCCGAACCCCTGAGCTGCGGTGCTGCTGTGCTCCTCCATAATTACACGATATCAGCCAGTGGCTGGACCCGTATCCAGTATCCCTATTCTCCGCATTGCCAGCAGTTCAAAGGTTAAAGACAACGGAAGCGGTGCGTTTCACAACTAACAATGAGGAACTCGGCAATATATGGACAGGATGGCCAGGCAAAGCGCATCGGAACAGTTGGCTCAATTGTTTGGTCAAGAACGGCGATTGTATTGAACAATACGCAGGCGTTGCAGTAATTAAAGTTGTGCGGTTCAGTAATTCAGAAACAAGGTTCATTTAGAATATCTTTGAAAACAGGTAGACATTTAAAACATAAACAGGCTATAAAATATGATGCATTTGAAAGTGAAATGTGATGATACTTGCATTTTATAATAACACATATATTAATTGAAATATTACATATTTTTATAACACTTTTGGGAAAACTCAACAAATAATAAAAGAAAGTACAAAAGGGAACTCAGAGGTGTGGGAAAAAAGTTAAATGTGGAATGCCAACAGGCGTTCTTTGATGGGTTATCAAACGCACTGAGGTGGACCAAAGGCACTCACACACAAACCACATACTCGTATAACTTATACCCCATTCATGATCGCACGCCCCTCATCCCGTATCGTTCGTATCGCCCCCCTTCCAATCCCATAGAGCATCTGAGCGACGACGAGCCAACTTGAGCAGAAGCCAAGATCAAGCGCCCCAATCCGCTGGCCAGGTGGGTCTCTCGGCTCTGCTGCCGCGGCTGCTGTGCCTGTATGTGCACGGCCCCCGACCAAGGTATATCTGATTGGCACTATCTGATTGATCTGATATCTGAGTGTGAATGTGGAATGTGGACATCGAGGTCCGGATTCGAATTCAATATCGAGTTCGAGTCGGATCCGATCGGATCGGCCACGCTATCGGTGTCGTTATCCTGTTGCTGCTCGTGATCGTGCTCCTAACCATTTCCATTTCCGTTTCTGTATTCCCACCGTTCCGTTCCGTTTCAATCCGTTTCGTTTTGCAGTTTCTTGATGTTGTGGCTTGCTCTATCTCTCTCTCTCTCTGTGTCTCTCTATGTCTGTCTCTCTGTTTTGTACTTGTCCCTGTCAGTGTTGGGAAACACCAAGTAATGCAAATATAATAAAGGTACAATAAATAAAGTATGTGTCCAACACTGGAAGATTTTAAAATTAAATGTATTTTATCTAGGCTAACAAAATGGCAATCGAAACTCCATTTATCGAACGTCCAGCTTCATATTATGGAACTTCGATTTAAGTGCCTTTCCCAACACTGGCACCTGTCTCTTCTGTCGCCTCCACCTGTTCCTTTCCGTTGTTGTGCTCGATCTCTATTGGTGTTCCTATAGCTCATCTGTTTCCCTCTCCGATTTGCATCTCGCCATCTTTTCATCATCACATTTACCATCACTACCTCTACCCTAAACATGTACCTGTTTCTTTTCTGCCATTTCTGTGTTCTTCACCTCCATATGTTTCATGTTCAATGTGTTTGCTATCCGTTCAAGTGGCCGCCTGCCTGCCTGAGGTAAAAACCAATAAAAATAAAACTCATGATCACTTGCCATTCGGACGATCAACGGACCAGGACTACCACAAAAATTTAAGACACCACCAAAATTAAAGGACATTTCGCCTAGAAAGTCCTTGCACCAATTGAAAAGCTTAGCAAGCGCCGGCGGCGGCAACGGCAGCGGCAAGCGAATTTTTTTTCTTATTAATACTAAATTTACATTAATACTAATATTACCCCGTCCTTTTCCATCTGTTTTTCCTCCGTTCCCAAAAAAATGATCTTACAGCGGACAAAACGGATGAGAAGTTCCATCGACGGGCATCCGTGAAGATGGGCGTAAGGGTGATCTACCGCACGGATGTATTTCATCAACATTTGGCTCCCGAGCAGTTTGCCGCCTATGCCGGTCGACAACATGGCCCATCTCCGCCGGCCAGTGCCACGCCCCCCTCGGGCGGGGAAGGAGGTGGCGAGCAGCAGCCGCAGCCGAGCTCATCCCATCAATCACAGTATCAATCGCAATCGCAGCCGACAAGCGGATCCAAGCACAAGTCCAAGTCGGAGCGGGGCGACTCCTTTCCCAAGCTTCGTCTCTCGCCGAAATCCTTTCGATTCAGCGGTCGCTTCGGGCGCAGCAAGAGCGAGATCGAGAAGTGTCCCAATGATCCGTTCCACAACTACAGCAAGTCCTTCCAGGAGGTGAGTTCTAAAGCACCAGACTTGGGATACCCATTGTAGCTAAAAAAAAAAAAAATCACGAAAATTTAAATTGGATAAAACATTTTTGTAAGACTTAAATGAAGTAGGGTTTTAAAATTGCTTATAAAAGCGCCTAAACGTATGCAGTAAATATAATAACGTTTTAGGCACACAAAAAGTGGTTACTAAGTTTTTTTTTACTTTTATTAATGTGGAAATTTTATTCTTAGGATTAGCACACTGCTACCCGACTGGCAGCTTAATCTAATCTGTTTTTTCAAAAATAGATACAATACTTAGTCTAAGGGTTCCTTAAGGCAAGAAATAATTTCGTTATTTTTAGTTATTTGATATTAGTATTGAGGGTGGTGATGTTGCTAGGTCAAAATCCGGGTGGTTACTACGAAAAAGGAGTCTTTTTTTTTGTAAAAAGTGTATATTTATTCAAAATTAACGGGTATACTGCTACCTATGTGGCAGCTTGAGCAGGTTGTAAATATAGGGGATAACAAAGTGTTGGTATACAAGATTATACATTAATTCTTTTCATTTGCATATTAATTAGATAAGTCTAAAAGTATGTAATGAAAATAGGAAGTCTCCTTTATAAGTGATTTTAGATCTTTTTACAAAAATATTCTAAAATTAAGCTTACAAGAAAGTTTTTTGGAATCGTTTCACCAGAAAAACATTTGTAAATCATTTTCTAAAAAGTCATACATGTATTTATTCAGCAGGTTGATTTTCAAACGGTTCTTAAAAGTATGCAGTAAAAGTAAGAGTAAATTGTTCGAATCTTTGGTCCATAAAATATATTTGTTGCATACATTTCAACACCCTTATAAATGATTTTAGAAGAATAGTGGTTACTTCACATAAAGCTATTCCAAAGTGTTGGTCTGTTTTGATGGGCAGCATTTATATTCGAACTAAACCAATGGATTTTTCTCGATTTTCAGCACTGTGACAGCATGTTACCACCGCACACTGGTGCCGGGGTCACCGGAGGAATCGGGGGCGTCAGCGTGGGACCCTGTGGCGGTCCCCAAGGATCCGTGGACAAGCCCTTTCTACTGCACGACGGACGGGTCGGCTTGAGGGCCAGCTTGGACAAGGGCTGGTACACCCACGGCGAGGACGTCAATGTGACCGTTAATATACGCAACGACAGCCGCAAGACGGTCCGCAAAGTGCGGGTAAGTTTTTGTGGCATTGCCCTGGACCTCCGATCCAATCACAGTGCACAAACTCCCGAACCCGAACCCCAACCTCTAGATGTTATGCAGGCCATCATTAACAATCGCATAACGCATACGCAACGTGGCGCTGTCGAGGGAAAAACCATGGATACTTTTGTGGGGAATACTCGTATGTGCGGTTGCTGTGGAAAAACCCTGAGTGCCTGCCGAACAACATAATTGGCATTTTGCGAATTTAGTTTCGGTTCAAGAAAATATACCACTTTCCCCAAAACCATTTTATTTACAAAGCTCAAATTAAAGATATAATCTTAATTAGGTGGTTTAGGTAGGCAGTTGGGTCCTTAGCATACGATTCACATTGTAAATGTGCTCATCTGTTTAGTCAGTGATTGGCTTTTGTTTAAAGGATTAGACCCGTATAAGGAACTGACCGGTCGCACCACTGCATCCATCCATATTCATCCTCAACTTTAGTCCTGGCCTGCACACACCGGGGGTACATAATCTGCATTGGCACTCCGTCTATGCAAACAGGACGGGTCGGGATCAGGAAAAGACACTGGGCCTTCATACTCATTAGTCGAGGGTTGTACCCAACACTAATGAAATCTGATTTTAAGATGCTTTGTTCGGTACAAGAAATAATACAATTGATAAGAATTAACGAAATAAAATGCAGAAAGAAATTAAAGGTTTATTCCTCATTCCTCTAAAACCCTCCTTTAATTAACTTCATTTATTTATACATTATTTTTAATTTAAAAGTAAATATAGGCTTTCATATACTTTGAAATGCCACCTTAGGTCTCTAGAATAGTTCTCTTTTTAAATAAATTTATTCTACTTCGAAGTTTCAAAAATATTGTTGCATACTTTAGGGTACCTACTATTTCATTTTAAAGTGATTTCAAAAACCAGTGATTTGTGTGGCACCCCCGATATTTTCGAAATTATCGCAGGTGTATTGTAGTCGAGGGAGACAGGACCAAAGCATTCTTTGTCAATGATTTTGTGCTGGAAGGGCTGCCTCTATGAAAACCTAGTTATGACAGTTAATCAAACGCCCACCAGAGGGCAGGGACTCGAGTTAAGCTGATTGTGGGTTGCCCGGCACCGCCCTTCTATGAACAATGACTTTCGATGCCAAATGGATAACGATGAGGATGGATTTGCAGTTTTGAGTTACACGAGAAGGAGCTCCTGAGCTTCTGGGGGGGGCCATTGTCTTCGATTTGGTCCGTTGCCAGTGCCACTGTCACATTCCACATTCCAAGTACCAATTTAATGAAATAAATACCAATTACCAAAGATAATTTTCGAATTCCTGCATGTCGGGGCCAATCGGATTCAATTAGTGGCCAAACAATAGGTGTGAATAACAAAAGGAGGCTTAAGTGGAATTTCGGACTGCCGGAGACTTAAAGGCGGACGTTTAAAAGCCCATCGAAATTTCTATATATTTTTAATGGCTAGCTAAATGAGCTGAAGTTGTTCTAGTCCCCATAAAGACTGTCTTATCGCACAAGAATCGTACCTTGGCTTTTTCACGCGATGGGGTAATGGAAATATTACGTATACGCACCAGGTGACGGCTCAAATGAACGGGATGACAGACAGCTGGGCGGGACAAGAAAGTGGTGGCAGGGCCAGGGCCAGGGCGACAAATCGAAAGGATCCCTTGGGTCCGGGGACTCCGGAATCGGAACAGGGACTTCGGAACAGGCAGTTGATTCCTTAAGCACACCCACTCACGCACATATGCAAATTGCGCTTAGCCGAATGAAATTGTCAAGCAAAGAACTCTTATCCCTCCCTTGGTTTCTCACCCCAAATTCTGGGTAAAAGGACCTTGGCAGAGTGAAAGGCTGGCAAAAGACGCAGTTAAAGTGAAAATTGTGTTTATACATTTTATGGGCTTTACTTTTCACCCCCTTTTTTCCCACTCATGGGCTTCTCGGCTTGGGTTTTTATTGTGCCCCGAAGGCCTTTCTATGTGAGCCGCACACACACACACACACCTTCTGGGTTCTTTGGCATTCATAGAGCCTCCATGTCGTCACAACAAGCCCCCCTTTCCCCACCCATGAAAGCCATGCTGTATTTAACGGGAAATGGAGCGCGCAAAAGTGTGCTACAGTTTTACATTGTGCCGGGTTATGTCTAATCCCGGCCCAACCCTCCACTTTCGCACGGTTATGGGCCATCGTTATCCCTCAGTTTGCTTCGATCACACTACTCACTCAGTGAACTAAGCTACTAGCACCATAAATTGGAAAAGAGAAATTTATACGAGAAAAGATGCATGACGTCTGTACAACCTTATGATTCCTTTTATTTGTGTGCACAAATATGTTTATTCTTTGTGATTACTACTAAATTATATTTCAAGGCTACCTTTATTATTAATTTACATAGATTTCCACACTTTAATAATTAAATTCTGTTCGGTGCAGAGTTTTAACCAAATATTTCGTTGTGCAATGGCCAAAAGCTTTGGGGACAAAGGACACAACTGCCTTGAGATTTTCTGGCTAAGTGGTAGAACAAGAAGGAGACTGTAAATGCCATAAATTTACTGGGGGGGGGGGGGTTGAATCAGGTGGAGCACTTGGAGCATTGAATCGTCATTTAATTACGTACCGGATATTACGCATGCGAGATGGGGGCCATCCTTACGTTCAACAGCCCCAAGTGGCTGTGCATGTGCATCTAAACTCAAGAAAATGGAACTCGAGGCTAATGCAAAATGCATATGGCAAGCACAATTCAATCCTGAAAGGATAAAAAAAAGAGACAAACGTTTCAGGACTTCAGTGCGCATTGGAAAATGTTTTATGGTGCCGCCTGTCAAATGTTATTGTTTATTTTTATTGTACCTCCATTATCTTCACGGCGCATTGTTCATTGATGAATAGACTGAATAGACCGTGTAGACTTTGGCCAAGAAACAGAAGGATAACCAACCCAGCCATCGACAGAGATACAAGTTATGACATGCGAGTCGACGTGTGCACATGGAATTGACTTTTCCATAAGCGTAAATAACGATCCACAAACCGTAAGACGTGGGCCATTTTAAAGGACACGGGGTATACTTAGGTTAAGAAACTTGCATATGTTAGATTCCATACATTCTTAAAATGCGATTACTTCGTCCTCAAATTCCAAACTCAAAATAAGCTCAAATTGTTTTAAATATCATAAGAAAAAAGTAAATCGATATAATTGGGTCTACAAAATATGAATTTAAATGTTGAAAACTTAAAATAATATTTCTTTTCCATTTTTAAGGACACTCAAAATTAAGCTCAATTAATTCAAAAATTGAATAATTGGTATATATATAGGAATATAATATGGACGACTTAAAAAAGTATTTCTTTCCAAAATATTTACTTTTCATTATTTTTCTCAGTGTGGATAAACGAAAACATTAGGAAAAAAGCCAAAAAGAAGGTCAGGGCATTCATAACGAAGCCAATGAAAGGGTCAACTGAAGCATATTACCATTTGGGATAATCGGTTGTTACATAAAAGGGCGACCATTCGATTGATTGACTGCAGCCATTGGGTTCTACAAAAAAATAAATTCACATCTTTAGGGTCACTCGTATACATTTTTTAACTGGGTCAGTCAAATATTTTGTAAATGAAGCTTGTATATAACACTTAAATTAATTTTAAAGTTAAGTCCCTTTAATTTCATTGTCTTTTGTACATTTTTTTTAAATTTTTTAAATCGTAAGCCTCTTTTTATAAAGTTAGCTATAAATATTTTAAACCAAATTCAGATGTTCGTAAAACGAAAACACTACTTTCCCCTGAAAATCCCATATCCTGACCCAAAACACTGGGGCTACATCTGTTCTGCATAATTCACAGAGTCTGCCGAACTTCCTGTTTTCTACAATTTATATTCTCAAATGGCTCAGGAGTGGTTTAAAGCAGTAAATAATATTCTCAACTGGTTGTGTTTTTTTGTTTTGTTTCGATTCGTTCGCCTCCTTTTGAAGGGAGTGCTCGTGTTCTTTCTGGCCATTCAGAGAACCAGAGTCCTTGTCCATTTGTGACAAGTTTCAGCCATCTTTTATGGAATCGCATAATTCGATTTGATGGCCTTTTCCCGGCACCTCACTCCTCTACCCCCTTTTCACTTTCCCCGATCCCAGCAAGACGGTCTAAATGTTTATACCAAACCGAGATTTCTTGGGGGAACCTCTTGCTCATTTATTTTATTTTCATCGTGCACTTTGCGCCTTATTAAATATGTACCTACAATTCTGTGTGTGTGTGCGATTCTGAATGCCGAGGTTGCTTTGTACTTCTTTATTTTTTGTGTACTTCTGTACCTTTTTTTTTAGCAGCCATAGTCGCCCAGCAAATGTCAAAAGTTACCTCGGGCCCTTGGGTAACTTGGACATCTGTTCCCCAATTTCCAACGCAGTGGATGTGGTGATGTGGATTGGGGATTGGGGTTTGGGGATGGTATGGTATATGGTATATGGTGTGGAGTGGGGTCCAGCAACAAGTCCTTTGGCGGGCGAATGTCCTTTTTGGCCTCCAGCCAGTTGAAAGTCGGGCACAAAGGCAAACGGCAACTTGGATGACGGCCATTTAAATGCTATATGGTATTGAAAACCGTGAATTGAATGGCTCGATGCGATGGAAGATTTTGATTGCTCATTTCGATTGCCGCCAAAGAAGAGATGAATTTCACGAGCTCTTAAGTGCGTTAAATCAAAGAAGGCCCATATTAATGTGGCAGACAGGCGAATTCATTAAATGAAATGGGTTCGAGATGGCACAATCAATTAATATTTATAAATTAATTACGAATACACAAAGGGGGTTTAATATAAGGAAAAAAAAAAGGAAAACCCCAAGATCTAATAACTGTAGTATTCTTTTAAAAATATTCCACAGAGGGCCAACATGGCGGATGAGTAATATTTTTATAATTTTTCATATATCAAGCACTTGGATTTCCATTTGTTTGTTGGCCTCATAGGAGAGTAGCCCAAAAAAATAAATGAAGCCTAAATTGCACATAAATAGCCGTGAAAGCTCGCAACGAGAAATCGACACTGATGAGCTGCCAATAAGCGAGTCTAGGCCTGAGTTTAATATATTATTTGTGCTGTTTTCCCCCATTTTTTTTTTGCTTTCTGGCCATTCGCAGACCGGCCACTTGAATGGACGGTAATTGAGTGCATTATCTGAGATTGGGTGCCAGATTGGGCCAGGGACATTTTGGTCGCAACCATAAAATAACGTCCAAGTACAAACAGGGCCCAAGAGGCCAGCCAGCAGAGGGACTTTGGGTGACTTGACAATGCTCTTTGGGGGAAAACTCGGCAAAAGGTTTTCTGATGAATCGGAACAAGTAATCTTATAATCTTGAAAGTTTTCCCAAATTTAATTTGTGAACATAACCATTTGAATAGGTCGTTTCTAGAGTATAAAATGGTCTAAGTTTGAGTCTTTAATTACTTATTGGTTTAAATATGTTTTAAATTATGTATAAGATATAACAAATCAATTGCTTAATTTATACATCTTTGGTCAAAGCACAAACCAGTGTTTCATATTCAAATATTAAGGAAATACTTCATTACGAAATATAATATGTATTTATTTTTATGTTTTTACGATGGAAGTATTGATTAAAAAACTAAGACAGGCACACATAGGAACCTAAAGTTTTATCCGCAGAACATTTTAAATTTTATCGTTTTTCATTGATGGGCAGCGTGTATAAAATGTATAGAACAATTTAACAACAACCATTCCGAATACGTAGGGTTATATTTTGACTGGGGATTTGATTTTACCTATGATTTACTCCTGTTGTTTGAATTGACAACATACTCATATTTATTATTAACTATTTATTTCCAAAGGATCTATAAGATATAAAAAGTGGGTGGTATACATATTTGGACAAAGTCATATTAAGGACTAAACTAAGAACTAAACCCTTAAATATTTTTAAAAAGCTATGAAACAATTTAAACTCAAGATTCCGGATCAATAGAGTGTTATTTTAACTGGGGATTTAAGTTTGCCATTGGGTTCTTGTGTGGATTGGCCATATGGATCTGCCCACTTGATTGCCTACGCTGAGATGACCTTCTCCAGCTGCACTGCTCCTTTGGGGCTTCCCTTGCTACCTTCTTCTCTACCCAGGAATTTTCCCCTCGACCATATCCCACTTTTCTCTGATTTTTGTATAATTTCTTCCGGGGATCCCCCTACCGACAGGTCTGCGCCATCCAGCACGTCGACGTCTGCATGTTCAACAATGGCAAATTCAAGAATGTGGTGGCCGACTCGGACAACGTGTCACCGCCGGTGGACCGCACGGTGGCTCCCGGGGCTTCGCTCAACACCACCGTGGTGCTCCGTCCGCAGCGCGGACCCACCAAGAACTGGATCGCCCTGGAGGACACCCTGCAGCGCAGCACCGAGCCGGATGAGATCACCGGCGCCATCGCAGCCTCGGCCATCCGTTCGCCGCACTTTGTCATGCAGAATGCCCAGCTGCTTGGTGGATGCGGACATCCACTGGGCAGCCCGGCCCTGGTCACCCCACATCCGCACTTGTGGCAGCCGGGTCCCCAGGGTCAGGGCCAGGGTCATCCAGGACATCCCAATGCCCCCGGAAATGGCGAGGAGCGCAACGTGTTCGCCATCTATGTGTCCTACTACGTCAAGGTGAAGCTCACCCTGAGCGGCATGGGCGGCGAGTTGTCCCTGAAGTTGCCCTTCGTCCTGGTCCATGTGGATGAGACCCAGCGTCCGGGCTTCGCCTCAGCCACCCTGGGTGAGCTGCGACTGGAGATGGAGCGCTTGGCCCTGCAGGATGCACCGGTGGGCAGGAGGAACGGCCGTCGACAGGGGCCCACATCCACCGAGATTGGCGATGGACCCTCCACCAGTGCTGCAGCCGCTGCAGCCGCCGCCGCCAAGTCAGCTGGCCAACAGGAATCCGGCAATCTGGATCTGATCGAGACACTGGATGATGAGTTCAATATCAGGGTGCCAGTGCCCAAGAAGAACGGGGGCCATAAGCGGCGACTGCTGCGCAGCGAGACCTTGGCCCGGGATCTGGAGGAGCAGGAGGAGCAGGCTGGCCATCGTCCGGAGGTGGAGGACCACATCGTCCAGATCCACCTGGAGCAGGTGTCGCCGGACCGGGACGAAGTGCAGCAGCAGCAGCATCAGGAGCAGGCACCGGTTCCGCAGGGCCATGCCCCCGGAGCCGAGACCGGGGCAGTGCCCAAGTCATCGAATGTGTGATTCTGATTGTGGTCCCAGATGTTCGCCAAACGCAAGAGGAAGCCGTAGTAGTGCAGTTTGCAAGTTGGTTGGGATTTTATGGAATGAACTGGAATCAATGGCAGTTTATTTCTTGCCACCACACCCATCGATCATTTTGATTTTTCAAAAAGGCCTTCTGCCACACACACATCAATCCATAGTCACTTGCCATAAATCAAGATTTTCTTTTAAATATTTCCATTATTTTAAATACAACTTCTTGTGAAAGTCACGGAAAAAATGAATTTAAAAGTATTAACTTTCAAGTTCCAGTTCAATTTTGTTACACATCTTGCTTACATTAATAGACTCAAGATTTCTAACTTATTACATAACTAATTGAATCAGTCAATTAAGTCGTTTCAGCAGCATTTTAAGAATGGAGTAAAGGTAAAATAAAGAATTTTTAGCTTGCTATTTAAATTTCTGGCCAAACGATGGCAGATCAAAAAGTTACGAAAACAGTATTATTTAACCTAATATTCTCAAACAATCTAACATTTTTTCATGTAACCATTGTTTGGCCAAAAGTTTAAGCCACAACTCTAGGGGCTATATAAGCCCAGTGTAAATTTAAACATAACCATTCAGTTTCGGTTTCAGAAGTCAAAGGTCAGGTGTTAGAAGTTAGAGGTTAGAGGTTAGGAACCCATCCGATAAGAAGGTTTATATTTACCAGATGAACACATGAAGGTTTCCACAATTGAAAGTGCAAGACAGTATGGAAGTCCGTGTAGGAATCACATAGTTGGAAAACGGTATTCCCTAGGAATTAGACAATGAATAGAGGTGAAATTTTTGCACTCTGATTTAAATCGAAATGGACTAGGCGAAAAACGAAGGAGACGAGCAGTAGATATACATTCGTAGTTAGTAGCGCTAAGATTTATCATTTGATATTAGCCATGCAATGCGTTGAAATTGATGATATTTTGTCTAGATTGACAGGTTAGAGTAGCCGAAATCGGTATCAACCGTATTGAAATCGCGACACTCGACTGTCTACTAAATTCAAAGCAAGCCAAGCTGAAAAACACAGTAAGAATACCTATATTTACCTAGATCGTAAGTAAGTGTGTGGTTCCATTCAGCATTAATTAACGAGAGCACAAAGATGCCAATAGAAAAAAAAACCCTTTTAAATCGCACCTATGCCCCCATTAGGGTTATTCAACAGTGTACTACCTAAATAATCACATATATTTACTGAATATTAAATGTTTGATGTGTATTTACAAAACGACAAGGAAATATTACAGAGGCCAAAGGGCGGACACTGCTGCAAAATGCAGACTATTTGTGTGAAATCTAAATCCGAAATCTTTTGCGGTTTCAAACTGACGAAAAGTATTTACAAATAACCAGATAAACCAATTAACCCAGATGCCCAGATACCCACACAAAAAGACGAACACAACACATATCCGTAGGTTTTCGGGCCTCTGTTGCCAACGTCAATATATAATTGTCGCAATGTGTGTTGATTCAAATCCGTGGTCAAATTAGGTAAATTAAGCAGACAGCCGGGCACTTTCGTCCAGATGGCTGATGGCCAGCCCAATTTTTGAAGAACGAAATCTATTGACAGAGTTCCGAACAGTAATTAGACACCCACAGAGGATCGACACTATAGCTATAGTTTTTTAAAACGTATTGAAACGTACCCAAGGAGTTTTGCAAAAACCGAGGAAATTATCCTATTTGAGAGAACGCCATCTTAAGATGCGCGTCACACTTAAACCACCAAGTAAAGAAAACCGATGATATCGAAGATTTTTAATGTTAGCTGTACGAGTATCCATATGAATATGACTATGAATAAACACACATACTAAAGGGAAAACAAAACTGAAAACAAATATTACCTAATATCTCTGTGTATATGTGTCTAGAGTTAATGTGCAACATTGAACACACTGAATAATGATGAATTTATGAATGTAAAACGATCGGAAATCGCAATCGCTGTGCTTGGCCTACGTGGCCATCTGTGTGCAGTTCGATATGCCGATCGTTATAGATATTTAAATATATAACCTATATACATACATATATTTATGTGAGTGTTGCTTTGACAAGCCAAGCTACTACTTGATTTTCGAAAACGCTACACTAACGCAAATGCGATGAAAAAAAATAAACTTAAATGTGATGCATTTCTATGAATACACTAAAGAATACATAACCCTATATACAATCATATATGTATACACAGTATCGATGGCTATTTAGGCGTAAGACTCTCGATCCGCAACCGCATTATTTTTACTTTATGAGCTGGACTCTATCGCAGCCAAGGATTGCAAAAACATTTTCGTTCCCTCCCCGCTACTCTTCGTTCTATTTCGATGTCCTTTCTGTCCCCAGATTTCCAGACCACCAGATACCAAAGCCAATTGATTGATGATGAATCTTGGTCAGCGGTCGGTGGGTGGTGTACCATGACTATTGGACATTGGAACATTGGACACTGGGCACTGGACTCTGGGGGCAGACAGACCGCTCTAGAACATCTGAAAATATAATGAAATAAATGTTCAACATAAAATATCACAAAAATCTCGCTTGTTTTCATTCACAGCATGGCTCTGGTGTTTTTGGTTGATTTTTGGTAGGAGGGGGGGGCAGAAGGATGGAGGTTGAAAGATGAAGTACCCAGCAGGAGTTCGAAATTATTTGGCTGCCCTTCATGGAAGCCTTAGCCAACCATTAAGCGAACTAGATGGCTAACATGGCTTGGCCTTTTGGCAATCAGCATGGAGCTGTTCAGAAGTCTTTCCACCCCATCCACCATTCCGGCACCCCCTAAGATCCCGACCCTGTTAACTAACATGGCATGCTATGCTAAACTCAGCTTTTGGACCGGAAAGCTTTTCGGAGTAAATAGTTCGTAACAGTTAGGTAAGGATACATAGCCTGTACTGGACAGCTTCCTAAAGCTCTGGAGTAGAAAATGCTTGTGTAAGCTCCATATTTTTTAAAGGAACTAAACCAAGTCAAAGACCAAAAAAGCTGCAAGTCCTTAGTTAATTTTTGTTCGCTCCCCTAAAGCATTTTTTTAGTAAAGGCTAACCCAAGGTTAGACCCCAAAAAGCTGCAGGTCATCTCTTTAAAATCCAAGATCTAGAAATCCAATTTACTATCCTTCTTAAAGAAGGGATTGGTAAGAGTAGAACCTACCACAGCCACAGTTTTGGGCGGTTTGTGGGCGTGGCACACTGTCGAAACAAACTTACGCTGCGCAGGAATCTCTAGAATCTGCATGTCCAATCCCAGTATTTCAGCTTTTATAGTTTCCGAGACGGAGTTTCCGAGGAAACGTGTTACATACTTTCCGACGAATCTAGTACACCCTTTTACTCTACGAGTAACGGGTATAAAAATAAAAAGCTTTGAAGTAGATAAGTATAATATTATAACTACACCATTATGTCAACACTTAGTTTAATGGATCTGTAACCTTTAAGTTAAGGTGAAAATGCGATCTCAGATCTTCCAAATATTCCCCACATTCCTCAGATTCCTTTTCATTATCATGCAACTATCTTAAAGATCAGAGATAATAAGATCACCCAAGTAAAGTCTTCTTATCCAATAAATATTTTGAAAAAAACACACTACACTTTGTTTACATAAAGTTTTAATTAATTTTTATTTGATTTTTAATAATAAATATATTTATCTGTTATACGTTTTGTGTTTTCGTATTGCTTTTTCTCTCTCTATATTTTTCGCATTGGTTTCTCATTGTAGTACTTCGTATATTTTGTTATTTTGATTTATTTATTTTTATATATACATACATATATATAAATTCTCGTATGTTTGCATGTGTGTGTGTGTGTCTATATGAAAATGCTCACATATGTATCCCCACACACACAAAACTGATGCTGAAAATTGGGATGTGTTTGCTAATAATCCGAAATAACAACAAATAGGAGAGTGAGAAGACAACAGCTCAAAGCTAAAATGCTAAATCGATCCAAAGTTCCTTGTTCTTTTTAATTTAATTATTTGTTTCATTTATTTGTAATGTAATTAATTGACTTGTTTGCCGCCCTCGTCCTCCTTCGATGCATATAAATTTCAAATCATAACATATTCTTGACGAAAAATTATCAAATCACTTTATTCGGCTATGCTTGATTTAAAGACTATAATTGCATTTAAATAAGGGAGGTGTATTATCAGACAGTTCAAATAAGTTGAAACCTATTATTGAAATGAACTTACATTTTTTGGATAGAAAATAACAACGATTTTAAATTCTTTTCTAACTTGCTATTTTCTGTTGTATGGATGGTAAAAAAAAGTGTATTTGTTTAAAATTAATGCTTGTAATGAATGCGAATATTAATACTCTATTGCATCAGCTGTGTTTTCTTTAGTTTTTACAAAATAAACGCAATACTCGCCTTTCTAATTAGCTTTCGTTAGCTGTATATTTATACGTATATGATCTGTATATATAAACCATTTGTTAGTTTACACGTTCGTTTGTGGATTTTTTTTTGGGAGGCAAAAAAGGCACTATAATCTAATAAGTTACGACGATGAAAAAATTAGTTTTCTCTTTCGTTCCTCCTGTATATACTTGTATATATTCATATGCTTTCTCATTCACTTATTCGCCCTTTCTACATTTTTTAACGAATTACGTCTCTTATTTATAAATTAAATATGCACAAAAATTGGTGTTTCAAGTACTCGAAGTAATGCTTTCAAAATTCGTTAAATTTAAACATTTTTATTTATTATTTTGTTTTTTGTGTGTGAGGCAAGTTAAAGTTAGGTTGGAGTTTTCTAGGTAAAGTTGTAGGCATTAAATAACAAGCCCCAATTGTTAAATGCCCATTAACACGTTAACAGTATTTTGCCACTTAAACTGAGTATAATGAAAAAAAAAATTGTTGTTACGGATTAGTTGTTTTTCGTTTTATAAATACAATGTAAGCAATAAATTAATTAAACAATGACAAAAAGAACATATATTTATATTTATAGATAAATAATAAATAAAATACACACAGAGAGTTGAACTGTTTTAAGCTTAATACATAGGTTTTCGTTTAGTTTCTTTTCTTTAATTTTATCATTTGCTTTCTTATTTGTTTGATTTTCCTTAAGTTTTTGTTAGACAAATTTGTAATGCGCACTTAGTTGATAGGAAGAGAACCAAAAATCGTACAATTGCAGCGAATTTCGTAAGCTCGGCGCAGGGCCAAAAGGAAAAGTTAAGTGATAGCTAGTTCATGCTGTTTTCGTCCCACTGTGCTTGCCCCAAAGGAACCGCACAGTGGCCAGATACTTTGCTTTCCTTTTTTGTATAGGTTTCTTTTCGTTTCTCTCTTGTAGTTATGAATATATAAGTATATCGTATATAGTTTACATTAATAAGCCTATATATAAATTCATTGCTTAACATCGCTGTACTTTTTAATTATTTATTTATCTGCATGTTTCGGGATTTTTTTGGGGGCTGGGGAGCTGCTGTTAGGGGGAGTTGTTACAATTTCCATTCAACAGATAATCATCAAATGCAGGACTCAACTTAACTAGGGCCTGTGAGTGCTTCGCCGTTGCTGCGGATGTTGCTCTTGCATCAACTAGCAGGTACACGGATAAGGTAATCAAGTTAGACACAGATTCCACACCCAAAATAAAGCAGGCAATATGTTTGTTTACAGATAATGACGGATACACATTAATGTTTATCTTCTTTATGCACTTGGGTTCGGCTTGCGTCACTAGCTCACACATTTAATTTATCATTTATCATTTATCATTTATCATTTGCCCGTTCTCTACTGTATCGTTCTCTCGTTCGCTATCCTTTTTTATATTTATATGTATATATATATGTGTGTATCTATGTAAAAGTTTATTTCTGTTGTTTGTTGAACCTTTAAGGAAATGGAAGCGGATGGATATATTATTTCTTCTTGTTGGTCGCAAGCATTGGAGCGCTGCGCTGCGGTGTTGTGGGTCGCGACGAGTTCATTCCGCTATACAGATACTTGGCCTTCTTCTCAGATGGTTTCAGGATCTGCAAGGAAAGTTTGCCGTTTTGATAGGGATCATTGGGAGGAGTACTTTAAGGGATCTCACCTGGAATGAGCACATAAGCGTGTCGTCCACGGTCATCATGCCGCCGGCATTGTCGAACTCCCCGCAGTAGTTAGGCGCCGAGAACAAGGTGACCAGTTGGCGACGCGCAAAGAACTCGTAGCCATCCTCCACAACCTTCAGGAAAAAGTTCGTCGTAATGATTTATGTATAACGTGTACATTATTCGAGACTCACCTGATGCGCACGGCAGATCAAGTCCAGCTCGTGCCGGTTCAAGAACTTGGAGACCACATCCACGCCGAACGTGAAGCTCACACCGCGATCGTTCTCGCCCCAGCCCTGAACATCCTTGTCGGGATCGCTCCACAGGAGGTCGCACAGCAACCCGGTGTCCGGCACATCTGTGGGCCGCATCAAGCGACGGATCTGCTCCATGCCCTGAAGATCGGGACTGAGGCCACCGTGGCAGCAGAAGATCTTCTCGTCAATGATCGCGGCTACCGGCAGACAGTTGAAGCAATCTGTGAAGGTCTTCCACAGTTTGACATTGTACCGGCGCTTGCACTCATCGTAGAAGCCTGCAAATAGGATTATAATATTGAATGAATCAAATTTAACTTATTTTAAGACAGCTGAAACCCGTATTTTAGTACTACCGACACTTTGTATCGTCCACTTACCATAAATCCTATTAATACTGGCACACTCGTGGTTGCCGCGCAACAAAAAGAAGTTCTCCGGATATTTGATCTTGTAGGCCAGCAACAGGCAGATGGTCTCCAAGGACTGCTTGCCCCGATCGACGTAGTCGCCGAGGAACAAGTAGTTGGCGGCCGGAGGGAATCCGCCGTACTCGAATAGCCGCAACAGGTCTGTGTACTGGCCGTGAATGTCACCGCAGATGATCAGCGGGGCCTCCAGTTCCAGCAGGATGGGCTGTTGCAAGAAGATCTCGCGCGATTTGAGGCACAGGCCGCGCACCTCCGCCTCGGTCATCTGGACCTGTTTGCCCGTTCGGCAGCTGCGCACTGCAAGTAATCGGAATGTTAGTGGACTCAAAGGATTCAGGGATGCGTGCACATTGATAGACAGATAGATATGGCAAATAGATATAGTAACTAGAGCTTAGCCTACGATTGACGATTTAGCAATAGCCAAACGCGGTCGGAGGACAGACGAGCACGGGCACGAGGACGAGAACTATCGACGCAGACACGAGGAGACGAATCCACAAATGGAGGAGTAGTAGGTTTTGGCGGGAAAACAATGCCACAAGAAATGGTTGCATACTTTGTGGCGCAAGCGAAACTGCGTGCAGGCAATGGCCGAGGTGAAAGTACAGTTGCGCCCAAAACAAAAGTACAGACGATTTTAAAAAATATATGCTTACAATGTAACTAACTAAAATGCAATAGCCAAAGTTCGAAAGCAAGACACTTAGTTGGTAATATCAGTTATTCATTAAAACAAATTTTAAAAAGGTCTTTATAAATCTAGCCAAAATGTTGTCACTCAGAAAAGGTAACTTACTTCACAGATTTAAAGGAATGTCAGTTACAATAACCACATTTCAGTCTCTAAATGCTATTCCTGTGACCGCTACTGTAGGTGATTTTTTGTGTGGGTGTCTTACAATGACGAAGCAAGGTACAATTGTGTGGTGGTGGACTTCCTGGTCTTGCGAATAATTGCAGGTTGTCGCTGCTCGGAGACCAAGTCTCGAAACCTTGGCCAACAAGTGGGCGTCACCACATAAGCCACTACCCTACCATTTTCCCCACTGCTCCCCCTTTTCGTGCAATTAATTTTGTGAGAAAATAAAAAAAAAAAACGCTCCTGAGGCAGGGAAAACGATGATAGTGCTATCCTTTATCCTGGGAATACAAGTAGGTCGCCCTCAGTCAGTGTCAGAGTGTGTGCGCGTGCACAAAAAATTTAATTAAATTTGGATAGACCAAAATGCTGGCCCAGCGTTTGGCTCGAAAAACAGACAAGCCCAATCCATTCGTCCTTGCCTGGAAAGTTGTGAGCCAACGGCAACTCTGGATTTGGGTCGAGAGCACTGGGCTGGCCCGAAATGGGGAAAATGGGAAAAGGGAGCACCATGTGCCCCAAGGAACGGAAGGGAGGGAGTGCATGTGGCTGTGGGATTGGGATTGTTCAAGTGGGTTGTGGTGCGGATGGGCGAGCTGGCTAACACAAAGCCAATTCCCAGAACGTCAGCATTGCACTTTGCCGCAGCTGTGATTTCAGTAATGGTTAATTAAAGTTATCGCACCATATCGATGGGTGAACGGCCAGTGGGGATTGGGAATGCGCCTTTAATGCATGACAGAATTTTCCATTTGGCCATCAGTTAATACAATTATACTCGTCGAAAACCAAACTTTGGGGGAAAAAACATACAAATAATGCTCCCAGTTGTATAAATTATTTCCATATATAAATGGTATCTGATAAAATCCATTTTAAAAGGTAATAAAACTATAAATCACAAAAGGTATCAAACCATTTTATTAAAATGTTTTTGTCTCTACTATTTACATTATTAAGGGTCTGATTTCCATGATAAGGTTTTAATCCATTAACCTTGGTAATACCATTGCTTATATCAGCGATCAACACTTTAACGAAAAAATAAATAGATACAGGTGCTTTCAGCTTTAGATAAAGAATTTATAATACCGGCTGTGATGGTGTAATTGTTGCATTTTTGATCATATAGTAAAGTAGATTGTGGGAGTTGTGAAGAAGCTGTTTGTTATTTATCATATGTTATACCCATTTAGATAAAGAATTAAAGAATTTAACGAAAAATATCACCGTTAAACGTTTTCTCCCCGGAAACTGTCAGTTAATCAAATGAAAATAGAGGCAAAATTATTTTGCCAACTTCTCGTACACTTCTGCAGCCCGTGCTTATCGTGAGCATTAGCATTAGCATATTATGATATAGGAGACCTGAAGGCAGGGGAGTTAAATACACAAAATTATGCAAGCCATGGGTTCATGCACTCGGAGAAGTGGAATCCGTTTAAGTTATGCGAGACTCCTTCCCGGAACCTTTTTAGCTGTTGCATACTTTCAGGAGTCGTATTATGTAATGGGTCCTCCGGTCTGCGGGCAAGAAACTAAGAAATACTTCCGCCTGTGCATAAATTTCGGAGAACATCTGCTCGACTTTTGTTGTGATTTTCTGATTATTCGGTTTGACGGAGGATATGAGGTTTATGTTAGATTTGATAGCACAACTAATGTGGGAAACTCGGATTCTGATATATTCTTTAAAATAATATATGAAAATATTATTATAACAATAAAAAAATATGAAAGTAATACAATAACAAATATAACAAATCTCTGTGACAATTTAAATACAACTTTTTAGCCGCATGGGATTCATCATAGTTGCCTTTTGCCTCATATCTGGGCGGCTTTAAGCTCAACACTTTGACACACATGTGACACAAAGTTGGGTGGGAAGCTGGGCAGATATATATAGGAGGATAGGGAAGCTCTTTATTTTTCATTTTTATTCAAATTTCCGCAGTGCTCCACTCCACGGAAAACTGCTGCCCTGCTGCCTTGGTGCCCACTTCCTCGCCGGCTGTCAGGCATTTGTCAGCATAAAGAAGATATCACAAAGGGGGCGTGGTTGGTTGGTTGGGTGGTCTGATGCCTTTTGGGGGCGGTGGATGGTTTGTATGGTTGGTTCGGTTGGGTGGGCTAGGGGATGTAGCATTATGCGTAAGCAAAAAAGACGCGCATGTTTGTTTATCATGCATTTTACATGAGGAGGCACCACAGCATCACAGCAAACGCAACAACGCAGACATCAGGCCATGTTACGTGCCGAATCCACTCCGAAAACACTCCACATGGGAACTTCCTGTCAGTCTGCTGTCACATCTAACTGGTTCATCATGATTAACAAGTCTTAGCCGCTTCCTCATCCCCTGGAACAAGCAAACAAACATCGTATCCTACCATCCATCCTTTCATTATCGCCAGCATCCCATCCCATCCGCGAACAAATTAAAAATGTAAGAAAACATATGGGTTCGAGTGGGATGGGATGGTATGGGATGGTATGGTGTGGGGCCGAATGGAATGAAATGTGGTGTTACAACAGTTGATGACTTACTTAATCGCAACCCATCAACCAGGACTGAAAGTCATAAGCAGTTTCAATTAAGGGTACGTTATCCCAACTAAGAGAACACCCTTTTACAATGATATTTCACATCTATAAGATTAATAAAATATTCATAACATTTAAATATTATTTTCCGATTAGTGGATTTTGCTAGATCCTTTTTACATTATCTTTAAGATATTTAAATAGTATTTAAGTCTGAAAATGTTAATTTTAATTTTTTACCGAGTAGTTTTCTAATAGATTATTATTTTAAGGAAACATCAGTTCTGCAATATTATTTTTTTTGTGAAAAGTCTGCTATTTTCCTATCCAACAACCTTGGCACCAGCACTATGAACAATCTATTCCCTTTTCATTAAAGAACTTTACGATATTGTCGCCCCCCCCCACCTCGACATACCTGTCCCTAATTCACTCATTTCCGAGGACATTCCCATCAGATGCGAAAGTACATTGCAAAACGGAATCCATCACGAGATTCACAATTTCCCGCAGCGTGGAAAGGCACGGGAGACATTTGATGGAGTCAAAGGAGCGTCTGCGTCAGACATTTTATGACCCGATTAACTCCCGGGAGGAGGATGGGTATATAAGGATGGCAGTGCGGATGGGGATGAGGATGCTGATGAGGAGGTGGTGGTGGTGACTGGAGCAAAGTGGAGCAGCAGCTGCCAGAAGTTAAACACTCGCCGCCCTGTGCACCAAACTTTGGAGGCAGGAAGAGCTGAATGAAAATGTTAAGCCATTTAGATAGCAAAACTACCGAGATGAAAGTTTGTGGACATAGGAGGCGAATAAACACGACCGAAAAGAAAAAGGCAAGGCGAGAGATAAGGCTCAGGAAAAGTTTGGCAAAAGCAAATTAAGAGCAGCGCATTTTTCTCCGAGTTGGAGAAGGATTTGGACGCCTTTGCAACACCAAAAAACAAGGGTGAAGATTACCATCTCCCAAGGGAAATTTCCCTATTAATTCTTAAACCTGCTCTAAACCACATTCGATCCATCGTAATATTTGTCGCTTTGGACCGTAAAATTGAGTTTTACCTTGCTCATCATGCTGAAATTGATTTCACACCACAAATTGAACAGCAATCAAATCTCAGGATTTCATCTCATTTCTCCAGGTTTTAACCGCAATCGGATGGATCCTTCCACAATTGCATATACATATACTTCTACCTAAGGTTAGCTGACAATTTAATTAACAGTGTGGTTGGCTTCTCCCCCTAAATATATGTATATGCTAATTAAAAAGGTAAATATCAGGAGTTAAAACCGAAACTAGAAACTTTAAATGAAGAGCTTTACATATCATAATAGTTGAATAATTTAATTTTCATCCATTGTGAACGAAATTTTTTTTCGCTTTTTCCATCGTAGCTCATCCAAATTAAGGCTTACAGCTAAAAGAACGACTGTTTTGAACAGCTTGCTTAAAATGCTAACAATCCTCATCATTCTTAGGAAAATTTATTTTTGGACCAATTTTCTCATTTTTTGAAGGGGTTGCATCACTTTTTTTCGAAAAATGGCCAAAAATGAAAAATTTTCAGGTTAGAATGCCAATCGATTGGAAATTAAGCAACGAGCACAGCGAGGTATGACATTCCTTATTCTGACAAATACTTTTGTTTTGGCAGCCAAAAAACTGAACTTTTATGTTGAAAAAAAGGGTTCAAATTTTTGTCAAAAATACAAAACTCAGATTTTTGTCAAAAATGCGAAATTTTTTTTCGCTTTTTTCATCGTAGCTCAGCCAAATTAAGGCGTACAGCTAAAAAACCGACTGTTTTGAACAGCTTGCTTAAAATGCTAACGATCCTCATCATTCTTAGGAAAATTTATTTTTTGACCAATTTTTTCATTTTT